TCTGTCCGCTCATCCCGTTCAGGTCGGAGCGACCAAAAACTCCGACGTAACTTAGTTTCCAAGGTCCGACCCTCGAACCTTAAAAACTAGGGGCTTCTGTTATGCCCAGGAAAATAAAGGCTGACGTGGGAAAGTACTTGAAGTTGACCTGCTCCCGTCAGAGCAACGCGCACACGTCAGACCTGCCAAGTGATATGGAGCTTACACGCTCCATTTCCCTGCAATAAGTCGTGCGTTGTCAGCTTGGGAAAAGGAAATAAGACGTAAAGCCGGATTACATCCTGACAATCACACCAAACCATGGATTTAGTGATGATTAACGCTTCAGTTCAGTATAAAATGAGGAAGACCCCTTCATTAAGGGGATTCGGCTGTTTCTCTACAAAAGAACTCTCTCTCTCCTGTAATCATTTGTTACTTTTTTTTAACTTATGTAAGTCAGCCCGCAACCGCGACTGACCCACACGAACATCAATACAAGTCATGACGTAGACTTGCTACCTTAGCATCCGAACCACTTAAAAAACTCCCTTTACATTTATTTCGCTTTATTTCATTTTCATGTATTTTGAACAGCCAATCAGCGTTACACACGTAAAAATTCGTTGGTGCTTAAACTTAGCATCAAAGTATGTACAAGACTAACATTCTTTTTGATTGAAATAAAACAGAAAAGTTGGAAAAATCAGATCCTTTTAACCTCAAGTTTAGAATTACTACATTAATAACTTTCCTTCCTTTACTTGATTACGAAGCATGCTCATTTGTACCTTTCTTCATCTATTGTTCATTGAATTCTTTTTCTTTCTGTTATTTTTTATTGGTTTTCCTTGTATTTCCAAACTGATCTTTCTACAATAACTTGGTTTCACTTTCTCCAAACAATAACTTTGTTGCCATCAATCCATTTTCAACATATATTTGAAGATTGAGCTGCATATCCATTAATTACTTCAGGTATAATTCCTTTAATTTCTTTCAATCATTTTTTTTTACTTTGAACGTAGATCTATTACGTTTAAAAATATCAGTTTACTTAATTAACTATTTCTTCTTACCTTCAATAAGCTTCTTGGTGCTTCTATCTTTCACAATATTTGAATATCAAGCTACAGTCAATTAGTTCAAGTACGATGTCTTTGATTTTTTTTAAAAGATTTTGTTATTACCCTAGATAACAGTACTAATGTAAAGAGTTGCATAATATGATTCTATTATATATTTCTTTTTTCAATATTATTTATAAGTTATTACTTGAATTTTATTGTTTGGTTTCTCGTTAACTTAATCTCCACATAATTGTTTGTTCACTTCTTGTTTCTTAACTATTATGCATGCATAGATGACAAATGATTATTTAATTTTCAAGCAAAATTACATTTTCCCACCTTAAGAATCATGAATGACCAATTTCTTAATGAGTAATGTATGTGCACTAACCATTTGTACTAATCCAAGTACTAATTAAAAATTTGAAATTAAAAAAAAAAAAAAATTCAAATTTTCAATGTTAGTACTTGGATTAGTACAAAATGGTTAGTGCCATGTTTATTGTTTCTTAATTTCTAAAACGAAAGAGCTTATATATTAAAATTTTGGGACTATTACCCCTCACCTTCCCCTAAGGTTTCAGTTTAAACTCACACCCCAAGGGTATGAAAGATTAACCCTGACCTCCTTTCACATTTGAAGAATCATCCAATACCTCCCCCTTTAGCTATTAATTGACATTTCTATTATCTAGTGCATTTCATTTACCCACCACCCCCCCCCCCCCCCCCCCCCCCCCCTTTTTCAAATAATATACTCACCAAAGCCATGGAACTTAACAATTTAAATCTTCCTATAAAATACCATAGACGACCCCCCCACACCCCCCCCCCCCCCCTTCAAATAATTTAACTCACCAAAGGCCATGGAATTTAGCAATATTAAATCTTCCTATAAAAATACCATAGACCCGTTTGACATCTTCAACCTAACATCACTCATACCAATAATATCCTATGGTTCAGATATGCTAGATACACACTTTCATGATTTCTAACTACATAATTCTCTAGAATTTCATGATGTGTTGTAGTATGAAATAAAGCTCCTAAGTTTAAAACTCAAGAGTCGATAAAATAACTTTACAATCACAACATTAGAGGTGTCATTACTATTTTCCTTTTTCTACCGTGTTCGTCATTCCTTTTTATGTGGCCCATCTTGCCACAATTCTAACACTACATTTTTTATTTTTATTTTTTACGAAATCTAGACTTACTTCTTTCATTCCTTGACTTTGGTCTAACTTTGCCTCTGTTGGAATTTACATCATAGACCCTACCTTTTGTTTCAGCATTTAAGGCATTTGGTGTTGTCTCACCCGAATATTTCTCACAAATCTCCTCACAAAGAATTTTATCCCTAAAGTCAATAAGTTTTAACTTTACACAACCTATTAAATTACTGACATACTACTCTTATGGACTCCTAACTATTTGGTAAAAAGGTCATAAGAATTAAGGCACAAATTTCATCATCAAAGTCAATTTTAACATACGATAGTTGATTAATAATTACAATCTTAATAAAATCATTTAGATGTTAAACTATTGAAGCACCTTCTTAGATTATATAATATTTTCATAAGAGGTATCTTGTTAGATGATTGTATTAATTAATTCAAGATAATATTTCATTCTAAAGAGTTGTCTATAATTACTCTTTTTTAAGATATGTATATGAGATATATTATTTCTTTCCTTGTATCATTTGTGCTTACAAAGAATTACACGTCTTTTTCTCTTTTCTGTTTTGATATTTTCCTTTCTAAGTTTGATACATACAAAACTAAATATTAATTCAAGATATATATTTCCATAGGAATTAAAAGGGAGGAAAATTTAATCATGTTTAATGATAGTATTTCACCCTTAGCTTTGTACATCTTGTTTTGTTTTGTTCTTGTGTTTCTTTTTCACTATTTCGTTTTCATTTTTATTTTTTTGTCTCTCTTGAGACCTTTATGGGATTATATTTGATTTATAAGATTTTTGGGAGGAATGGGTATTACAAGGGCAAGGAATGGGTGGAAATTCTATCATTGCCCCTATTTCAAACAACTAGTCCTATTATATCCTTTTCTAATGTAATTAAATATGAATTATTTTATAATTAAATTATTATTAAATTAATAATAAAAAATTATTTAAAAATAAAAAAATCACGCTTTTGATAAAAAATTATTTTATTTAAAAAACATAAATTATTTTATTTTATTTAAAAAACAGAAATTATTTTATTTTATTTAAAAAACATAAATTATGTTATTTTATTTAAAAAATCATAAAAAAAAATTAAAATTTTAAAACCGGTCAATGTCACAAGATGGTGGCGTCCCTTCACATTTTTAGTGTATGGACGTCAATCGCAATGATGGGAGATATGGCCGCCGTGCATGACATTCTTATGCTAGTCTTCAACGACCAATTTCTATCCAAAATGGTCAATCGTCGGTCAAAGATCCTTCATGAGTCATTCATACGCCATCTGGTGATGTTGACCTGTATTGACCTGTTTTCAATTTTTGGAATTATTTTATTTAAATAAAAATTAATATTTGTATTTAGGAAATAAAATATGTTAATATTATATCAAAATTAATTATAATAATTAATTTCAATTTGAATATTTTATGAAACATATTAAATTATGGAGTGATATGTTGAGTTAATCTATAATAAATTTTATATTGTTATAAAATATACATATATAATCATTTAATATTGAGGGTAATTTTGTCCAAAAAGTATAAATTTTATTTCATTTTGTCAGTATTCATTGTTAAAGGTAGTCATATTTTATTCCTTCACATATTCACATTCCCATTCCCATCCCCATTATTGTTACTTGAACTTATTTTCTTATTTCATCAGATTATTAATAATGTTATATTATTTGATTCAGCACAAGATTCAATTCTTGTTAATAATATTTTTTTCAAAATCATGGCAAGAAATATTGTCAATTCTTATTTCCAATCTTGTTTTGATTTGTTTTTATGGGTTTTCCATGAATAATATAAGTTAAAGAAAATATTAGGAAAGTGGAAAAGTTAAAAAGGATTAGGAAAAAAGGGTAATTTTGGAATAATCTAAGATTTATTTAAATTTTATTTCTCTAATTGGTTTTGGGGCTTAGAAAGTGTTTGGGTGGGGCTTAAATAACAGGACCATACCATGTTTTTATGAGTGATATTATCTGAGAAAAGGAGTTCTACCCTCATCTAATTTATTAATATCTTTTTATGAGTAATATCATTCATAAATACACCTCTTTATATTTAAAAAAGATCTTTTTAAACCATGTTTAATACTGAAAATATCATTCTAAGCTTGATTAAGTGTTTTTTGTTTACATCTCTCTCCCCCATTTCAAACTTAATTAGGTTTTTTATTTACATTTGTATTTCCCAATTTCAAATTTGAAACTTACTTTTTCTTGTTTAGATTTATATTTATCCCACTGTATGATTATTTTTTTTCATATTGATAAATAAGACGGGGTTAAAAATCACATAAAAATAGTGACACATTAATTTGTATGTAATAATTTGAGGTCAATTTTACTTCTATTTTACAGAGAATGTTTAGTTATGTACTGAGCTATGTGAGAGAGCCCCACTTCATATCTTCTCTCTCTCTCTCTCTCTCTTTTTCTTAAAAAATTTCTGTTCTTTGATTCCATGTTATCAACTATCTCTGTAGCGTTCTCCTTCTCTAGGCATGCTAATGGGGAAAAATATTGTAGTTTGAGTTGATCATCAATTTTAACTAGCTATTGTTATAAAAATTTCTTATGACATTGACAATAGTTTTAATGACAAGTTCATATCATAAAGTTTGACTACTTCTTTATTTAAAATTACATTTACGAGAGCAATTTACTTTAACTACCTCAAAGGAGGAAACCTTTTACTGATGCAGTTAATACATTGTATATAGGACTTGCCAATGGAGCTTCTCGGAACATTCCTTGATATTTTAAAGTGCATTGGGCCACCTCTATGCACATATATTGAATATCATAGAAAGCTTCAAGAAAATTTTAGTAACCTTAAGCGGGAATTGAACGATTTAAACAGCCGAAAGAAAGATGTTGAGGAAATGCTGAAGGCAGAGTATGCAATGGGTAAGCTACCAAAGGAAGAAGTCAGTAATTGGTTGCGAAATATAGAAACGATTACTGGTGAGGTAGAAAATATTGAAAAGGAAGTCCATGAAAAGAAAATTTTCTCACGTGTGCGTCTCAGTAAGCTTGTCAAAGAGAAGATTCAAAAGGTGAAAGAATATGAACAAAAGCGAAGTTCTTTTCAAAGTTTGGTAATTGATACACCTCCGGCGAGAGGATTGACATTACCAACAACGACATTGGTTGGTGCAAATACACAGAAAAATATGGAAGAAATTTGGGCACACTTGATGGGAAATGAGGTCACCAAGATTGGAGTTTGTGGGATAGGGGGAGTTGGGAAGACAACAATCATAAAACGGATTAATAATAGACTTCTACAAGAAAAGGGTAAATTTGATCATGTGATATGGGTCACTGTTTCCCAACCATTTGATCTTGCTAAATTGCAAGATCAAATTGCATCTATGTTTGATCCAAATTTTAAAGGGCCTGAAGATCAAAAAATAAGGGCAGCGATGTTATTAAGAATGTTTGCAGGAAAAAGATTTGTGTTAATATTAGATGATATGTGGGAATCATTTTCACTCGAGGAAGTAGGAATACCTGAACCAACAAAAGGTAATGGATGCAAAGTGATGATAACAACTCGATCAATAGATGTATGTCACTCTATGGGCTGTAAAGTAGTACGAGTGGAGCCTCTTGCAAAACATGAAGCATTGAAGTTATTTGTAGATAAAGTGGAAGTCTATATTATTGAAGTTCCAACATTAAAAGAACTGGTGGAACTTATTGTGGATCAATGTGCTTGTTTGCCACTCGCAGTTGTAACGGTAGCCGGCTGCATGAAAGGAGTGGATGACATTTGTGAATGGAGGAATGCATTCAATGAATTGTCTGACTATATAAGAAGTGATAAAGTCTTGTCAGTAATTTCTCGATTGCAATTCAGTTATGATCGTTTGAAGCATAAAAAGTTGCAACATTGTTTCTTATATTGTGCACTATATCCCGAAGACTTCAAAATCCCGAAAGAGGAGTTAATAGATTATTGGATTGCAGAAGGATTGGTAGATGAAAGGGCTAGAATGCAAGCAATGTACGATGAGGGTTATTCTATATTGAATAGACTTGTTAACAATTGTTTGTTGGAGAGTTCTGATGATGGAAGATGTGTGAAGATGCATGATCTTATAAGAGAAATGGCATTGTACATTACAAGCATGAGTCCTTTATTCATGGTAAAAGCTGGAGAGAAATTGCAAGAATTACCAAGGGAACAAGAATGGAAACAGAATCTTGGAAAGGCTTCATTAATGAGGAATGAGATATCAGAAATTCCTCCAAATATGTCACCAGATTGTCAAGCTCTTTCAACTTTGCTTCTACAAGAAAATGTTTATTTAGAAAATATTCCTGAATCTTTTTTTGTAAGGATGCAAGGGTTGAAGATTCTCAATCTTTCCTACACTAGTATCGAGAAGTTGCCAAATTCTGTAGGGTTGAAGATTCTCAATCTTTCCTACACTAGTATCGAGAAATTGCTAAATTCTATCTCTTACTTGACGAATCTCACAGCATTGTTGCTTCAATATTGCATTAAATTAAAGCATGTTCCTTGTTTAGCAAAGCTAGTGTGTCTTTGGAGTTTGGACCTTGGAGGAACTATAATAACAGAAGTCCCTCAAGGTATGGAGATGTTGCAAAAGCTTAGATACTTTAATCTTTTTTCAAAGGAACTAGAAAAGTTACCAGTTGGGATGCTATCTAAACTAAGTTGTGTCAAAAAATTGAGAGTGTATTGGGGATCCAAAACTTCAGAAGCAACGATTGAGGAGGCATCAAAATTGAGTGAATTAGATACTTTGGAAGTGTGCTTTCACAAAGTAGAAGACTTTAAGATACATGTTAAATCTTTAGGAAGTGGAGGTCCAAGACTTAGAAAATACAGTCTTTCGTTACATTCTCCATTAGTTGGACTTAAACATACACCATATGTGTCGTATGTGTGTTATTTATTTTGGCCTCCTGTCGAAGAAGTTGATGTTGATAGAAATGTAGTGTTTGCTCTTAACTTTGTTGCGCCCCCAAAATACTTACAGTGTCTATCTCTAATTGCTTGCGATGATGTAAGAAGCTTAAGTGATGTTCTGTCTAACGAAGAAGAGTATTCAGACCTTAAAGTTGTATACATATCTAATTGTCATAATTTAAAGAAGTTATTGTCAGCTAAGTTGTTGTGGGCCTTACCAAACCTGGAAGTGATTGGTGTTAGGTTGTGTGAAGAAATTGAGGGGATAATAACATTAGATGGTGGTGAAGAAAAAAGTGAGGAAGATGGAAGGAGTAATACCATGGGATTCACACTAGCTCTTCCTAAATTGAAATTATTGAGATTGTGGGATCTTCCGGAATTGAAGAGGATATGTAGTAGCAATGGAGTAATGGTTTGTGATTCTCTCAAACAAATTGAAGTATACAAGTGCCCAAAACTGAAGAGGCTCCCTCTGTCTCTTTCCCTGCCTGCAATTAAAGAAATCAAGGTAGAAGAAGACTGGTGGAATCCATTGGAGTGGGACAATCCCAATGCAAAAAACGCCCTACAACCTCACATCAAATATTGGTGAATGAAGCTGTGGAACAAAGGTAATTAAATTCATAATGTTGAGTGTGTTTGTGATCTGATCCATGGTTGTCCATATTTTATATTCATTCCACTATCACTATTTGATTCCGTTTGATAATCAAGCTGTGTTGATTAAATTTTGACGCCACTTAGCAAAAGTTTATTAATTAAAGTATATTGCTCATTTATTTAATATTAAATAATTTGTTTTCCTACTATGAGTAATATTTCTTTTATATTAATGCTTTTAATTAGATGATCAATTATCGATACAATAAGAATAATTATTTCTTCTTTTTCATTCTTAATTTCTTTTTCAAATTTTTCATAATTTTTTATTTCTTTTCAGATGGTTTAATTTTTTATTTTATTTTTTTTTTGGGAATTTTCAAAATTTCCATTTTTAAAAAAATTTCAAAGTTATTATATTTTTTTTGCATTTTATTTTTCAATTTTCTCATAATTTTTATCGTTATTTCAAGTTTTCAGATTTTTTTATTTTAATTTTTCAGATTTTTCTTTTCTTTTTCAATTTTTTTACATACTTGTTCAAGTTATTTTATTTTTTCACTCTTAAGGTTTAAATGAAGTGAAAATGACCTTTATGCCCTTCTACGTAGTTTTTGTTATAATTATCATAATATTATTAATTAAATTTATGAATCTTCCTAAGCAATCTAAAGAGTTTTGATTCAAAATACATATATACGCTGGTAGTTTCAACGACAAATAAATTTCAGTGGTAGTTTCTCTTCAGAAGAGTGGTGGTGAGATTAGAGTCCTTTGACCTTCAATTTCATCTGTACGTTTCTTCATTGTTTCTGGTAAAGCTCTTCTTTTTATTTTTTTATTTTTTTTTCTATTTAATTATCACTCTTTTATATTTATTTATCTTTAAATCTTTCAACGTTGAGTGGTTTTAATCACATTTTTTTACCAACATTCTCAACCCTTTTGAATCCTTTTCAAACTGGGATTCCTTTCTTTTTATTACTTTATAGTGTTTTCTTGTTTTATTGCAACCCTCTTAAGACAATTAAAAAGAAAATGATGAAATGAAATAGTTTTCTGGATTCTGGTTAATGTGTTTGGAAGAATTTGTCTCTCCCTTAGATGATGAAATAGGTTCTGTGAAATATGTGGTTAACTGAACTTCTTGTTCGCTTTCGTGTGGTTAGAATTTGAATTTGATCACCATTGTTGTTAATCATCCGTCCTTTATTCTTTAGCAATTTTTGAATTTGATGGTATCAATTCATTCTCTGTTTCTTGGTTCTATTGTTTGATAGAATTTATGTCTTAGAAATCTGTTCTATGGTAGAAACAATGATTTTGAGTGGACTTTTTTGCCTTTAGGGTATACATAATGGAAAGTAAGTTACGATTATCGAGTAATGTTACGTTTACATCAATTTTTTACACAATTTTCATTACATCATGATGTGACATATACCACAACCACACAAATTTTTAATTATTTTAAATTTTTAATATTATAATAGAATTTGTGTGGTTGTGGCATATGCCACATCATAATTTAATGAAAATGGTGTAAAAGAGTGGCGTAAATGTAATATTACTCACCATTATGAGTGTGTGCTTTGACAGCAATGCGTTCAGTCCCATGGGTTCAGATCAGGTCAGGCTTTAATGTTGTGGAAGCGCCTCTATGGGAACATCTGGGCACATTGTATTGACGAGATGGAAGGTACTATCATTTGGTGGATATAGTCTGTCATAGATTTACTACATATATGCGGCATTTTAATTTATTGTGGGGAGATTGTATCGGGTTCCTTCTTGTATGTCTGCTGGGTTTTAAGAATTGTATATTGTGTAGGCTTGAACAAGGATTTCAAGAAAATGTTTGAGTGAATATGCTGAATTCAAGGCATTATCTTTGAAAGACATTTACACAGCATCTGACGGAACTAAGAAGGTAGAATAATCTATTTTGTTTGCTTCATATTTATTAGTTACTGTCCCTTGTAATTGTCTATGTACCAAATATTTGACATGGATGTTACATATTTAGATTAGAACGTTGCATTACATTGAGAATCTTCTCATTGATTTTGAAACAGTCATCATTCCATGTGATAGAGGTAGAACGACTGTCTGTGTTTCAAGTCAGGTGGGTTGTGCCATGAATTGTCAATTCTGCTACACTGGCAGGCAAGTATAATATTTCGCATAGCTTCACATTATGTGTTATTCATGGTTTTGTCCTCTAATATAAGGTTCGTGCCATAATATGTCCATTTTTTTTTTTTTCTTTTTTTTACAGGATGGGTTTGAAGAGACATTTGACCACAGCTGAGATAGTAGAGTAGGCTGTTTTTTCACGGTGCCTGCTCTCAAGTGAAGTTGGCTCCATTTCAAATGGTGTGTTTTTGGTAAGTGCACATTTGTTTTATAAGGCTACGTAAGTGCACATATGGAAACAACCTTTCAGTTTAGTGAGGTTTTTTCAGTAGAGTGATACTTTGTTCCAGGACCTATGCTGTACTGTCAGTATACGCTATTAATATTCTCACTATGGTTTCACGAGGTTTTTTTTCTTCTTTTTGTATCAGAAACAAAAAGTTGTATATTATTTTTCGTGTACAAATGTCCAAACTTTGATTGGTAATACCTTGTATATGTTTGAATTGTATAGAAACAATAATATATTTTAGCCCCAATGTTTTGTAAAGGACCCCCTACCTTCTCTGATGTGGTGATTTTCTCCTCAAAACTGTTGTGAAGACAAGAGAATCAATTTTGTATTTATGACATAGATATAGTTTGCAATGATCAAAGGAGTTATTATTCTTTTGGCATGGTTTTCTAAAAGGAGTTTATGTGTATCTTTTTACTAGATACCAGTAACTTTTTCTCTTTTGTGTTGGTTTGTTCTAACATGAACTTTGTTAATCCTTTTGGAGGACTGCAAGTACTCACAGAGACAGGCACACCACTTATGTACACACAGAGATAAGAAACATATACTTGTAATTCAATAGACCTTTCATGTTTTTTTTTCCAATGCGCACCTTTTGCCTCAACTTCTTAGCATTTTGTAATCATTAAATGCTGTCAAGCAATTTCATCTTATCTCTTGCTAAACACGGAGCTTCTAGATTATCTGGTCTATCCTAATTATTGTCATAACAGTACTTGTGTAGGGAATGGGAGAGCCACTTCACAATGTTGGAAATGTCATAAAAGCTTCCGACATTATGGTGCATGAGCAAGGCCTTCACTTCAGTCCTCGCAAGGTCACTGTTTCTACTAATGGGCTTGTCCCCCAGTTGAAACGATTTCTCCATGAGTCCAATTGTGCTTTAGCTGTTAAGTTTGAATGCTACGATTGATGAGGTATTATATTTCCAGCTTTATTTTGATGGACAAAGAAATAATGCACCTCAATTGGTAGAGAGAGAGGATTGACCTCCTTTTGATGATTAGTGGGTCCAAACTGGATCATGCCAATTAATCAGAAGTATAACTAGGGTTACTTCTTGAGACCCTTCAAGGGAACTTCGTTTCAAACATAATTCAAAAGTTCTTTGAATATGTTATGCTTGTAGAATCAATGACAGTTTAGATAAACCTTTTTTTATCTGTACATTGATAGTGAAACAACAGTCATGTTGCTATCCGAATTTTGCTATTTATGTTTGTGGTCCCATATTAGTGCAAAACTATTATAAGTCACTTTGTCCTCCTGGGTCAAGTTATTAACTCATCATTGATTTATAGGAGGGGGGCTTTTGCATATAAATGCTGAATGCTTGTATTTGTCTTATCAGACAAATGTGTATAACTCCTTGGAGTGTTGACTTTCACCATTTACGGTCAAGTAAGACTGGTTGTAAGGGGTAGGGGAACTGTTCAAATTTGCTCCATCCAACACTAAAAACTACACACAATTGGTAAGTAATAGTATCACACCAAATTTGATGTAATACTATTCATCACACCAATTTGCGTGATACATTCATCTATTAAAAATAATTTTATTTCTTTATTTTTGTTATTTATTTTTTATTTGTATTTATGTTAATTTGTTATTATTTATTAATATTTATATAATAAAGTCAATAATTATATAATCAAAAAATGATAAAATTAAAAAAATTTATTCAATGCAAAATATAAACTACAAATAATTCAAAATAAAAATTAACACTAATTTAAAAACACTAAAATTAAAGAAAATACATATAAACTAAAAATATAATTTAGTATTCTGGTAAATTAGTTTCAGATCTCTAAAATCATCAAAATATTAAAAAGAATTAGCTCACTATAGACAATCAAAGGTACAGAGGCTCATCTGTTCTTTCAAAATGCATTAATCGATCATTTGTGGGAAAAATATACTAATTCGGAAATAAATCACTATCAATATAGAATTTTACTTTTGAGTTTGTTGTCTTTTTTTTTTTTTTTTTTTTTTTTTGGTGCATTTATTTGATGATTTTTCTTTATATTAAATGTAATGTTTATTGATTAATATGCTTAAGTTTTAATAATTAGTATAATTTTCAAAGTTTTATTATTTAATAAAATATGATTCCCATATTTAATTAATATATACAAAATAATTAGTGGAAATCTATTAATTGTTGATTATTAATAGAAAGAAAAAGAAAAATAATATTCTTTTTGATGTAATATTTGGTGTAATGAGTTGGAGATGCAATAGTGAAATACACCAAAAGTAAAACTAATTTAGTGTGAAAGTTGCACCAATTTGGTGTTTGTGGTTGGAGATGATCTTAGATGATGAAATGGGTTTTGTGAAATTTGTTGGTTAACCAAACTTCTTGTTTGCTTTTGCGGAGTTAGAATTTGAATTTGATCACCATTGTTGTTAATCATGCTTCCTTTATTCTTTAGCAATTTTTGAATTTGATGCTATCAATTCATTCTCTGTTTCTTGGTTATGTTGTTTGATAGAATTTACTTCTTATCAATCTATTCCATGGTAGAACCAATGATTTTGAGTTGATG